CAAATTTTTGTGCACCGGGCCTCTAGTCATAATAATAAAAGGCTAATATGCAAATGGTCATCACACCTTCACACTTAATGACTGATCAGCAGGAGGCAGGGCTTGACGAGGGACCTGAGGCTCCTGTCCCCTGTCAAGCCTGCAGGGCTTGACAGGGGTGGGGCCGGCCAGGTCTGGGTCTTGCCCAATGGGGTAGGGCTGGCCAGGCTGGGTCTCGTGCGATTTCGAGGCATGTGTGGGTGGGCAGGGACTTGACTCTGGGTCCCGCAGCATGCCCCAGACTCTGACAGGAGGGAGATTTTCATATACATTTTACTAATTTTCTTTCATCTCTGACACTTCTATTATAGAGAAAGGGCAAATAGCAATATTAAAATATTTCCTCTAATTAATTCTCTTTTAATGTGCATGATTTTGTGCACTGGGCTACTAGTCTATAATAATAAAAACGTAATATGCTAATTAGACTAGACGTCCTTCTGGACGACCTTCCAGATGACCTTCCAGATGAAGCCAGGGCTGTGAGGGAAGCCCGGGTCCCAGATGCCAGAGGGAAGCTGGTGCCGGCAGCAGAGGAAGGAAGGCCTACTCTTGCATGAATTTTGTGCATCGGGCCTCTAGTACATATATAATATGTATACATGTGCATATGTTATATATAATATGAATATCTATCTACCTATCTACCTATCTATCCCTAACTGACAGTCTTAAAGCTGGAGATGAGAACATATGCCTTAGAGGCAGGGGCACAGGGAGAAGACATAAAATTACTGTAACTTAGAGTCCAGGCAAAGGTTAACTGTAAATGTGGTCAGCTGAATCCTCAAGTGGTCACCTCACACAGTCCCTTTCAGCCAGGCTGACACTTCTGGGAGGGCTATGCCCTTCTCTCCCTTTGCCGAGGCCCAGGCTGCCACCTCTCAGCCTCAGCCTCTGGTCTGACTTACCCCAGCCTAGCAGGGACACCCTCAGGCCCCAATCAGTCTTGGTCTCAGCCTGGCCCCTCCCAAAAACAAAGGGAGCCCCTCACTTAGCTCCTCCTTTGCAAGTAGGTGACAGCAGGCTGGCAGGGATCTCTGCGGCCCTGGAGGAATTACGGAATTACGAGAGCAAGCCTGACATTTTCTTGGCAGGTGTGACTAGAAAGAGGGACAAATTGGGTGGGCGGGGGCAAGAGAGGGCAAGTATCAGGGCTCAGTTTCTTTTTGGAGAAATAGATCCCACTGCCTGAAGGATAGGGGCGCTCCAGAGTGGGGAGGAGCTATTAAGGGGCGCAAAGGCCAGATGAGGATAACAGAAGAGTGGAGGTCCCTGGTATTGGCAGCTGCCCTTCAGGTTGGGGAGGGGCTGAAGCTAGAGTGGGCATGAGGGACCAGGTGGCCCAGAATTACAGGCCCTCCATCCTGGCCACTTGGATTGAAAAGGATGAAATGGGCTGAGAGATGGGGTGCTTCCTCCCCCTGCGGCCCCCTCTCTCTGGCCAGGTTCTGAAGGAAAGAGTAGAAGCCAGGACTGCTGCGGGTGCAGGGCACCTGTAGACACCCGCCTTGACACTCCCACATCAGGTGGAATCCCCTCTTCCTGTCCCGGGACTGGCTGCAGTCTTGGGGCTGCTGCTCCTTCATGGCTAAGACACCTGATTCCTTAACCTAGTCACCCCTTGTTTTGCCTTCACATCTCCCTCCTACCAAGGAGATCGCATTCTGCCAACTGCCCACTGTACTTGCCGAATGCTGGGAGTGACCAGCGGAGGACAGGGGGGGCAGCTGAGGGGGCTCAGAGAATCCTCTCTTTACCCAGCACAGAGAAAAGGCTGGGGGTGATCTCACTTCTATTATAGAGAAAGGGAAAATAGCAATATTAAAATATTTCCTCTAATTAACTCCCTTTTAATGTGCATGAATTTCGTGCACCGGGCCACTAGTATTTAATAAAATCTTATATGAACCTTAACATTGAAAACATATGATCTACCTCTGCATTTTAATGATACTTTATTTTTATTAACTCATGTTTATCATTTTGCTTAATTATAAAGTCTTAATAGAAAAATGAGTTTGTTTTTTGTTTGTTTGTTTTTTGAGAAAGACATTTTAAAACAGCAGTGTTGATGTAAGATTTTATTTGGAGGTGGGGGGAGAAGGAGTACCATTGTTAAATTCTTGAAATCACTGACCAAGCTCAAAGATCCATGCCAACTGGCACATTATACATTGGTTCTAATTTTTGTCAACCATCAGAAAGAATGTAGATCCCCCAAAATGACCATAACATTCACACAACACCACTGGCCACAGCTCTCACTGGACACACACTAAGAACCAGGCATCATACCATGTACTTCTCATGTGTTTACTAGTAATTCTTCCTCTTACTTTCCTCCCACATTTTACTCAGAAAAGTTAAGTAACTTGCCTGAGGTCACACAAATGCAAAATGCTGGTGCCAGAATTTGAACCTATAGTTATTCACCACGTAGTTTTCTGTTTCCAAAGCCAGGGTCAGACCCACTGGCATTAGACACAGAGACCTTGTGCTTTCCTACTTCAGCACTTTGTAAAGTATTTAATTGGCTCTCTTTTGCCTTGACTTCAAATTTGCCTCTTCACTGGTCTGTCTTATTTGATAAGTTCATCAAACATCAGGGTTCTTTGTTCATTTTCAAAAAGGATTACAATGATAAGCTTTTATAATTAAGAGTATCTCAGCAGAGATTTCCTTTTCCACAGTTCCCTCGCCTTTATCTTCTAATTATTAGAGATGAATTTTCTGATTTTGTTCAAAATCGTATTTGCTTTAAATACAAGTTGCAAATTAACTGCTTATAAAAATATCTTCCTCCCTTCTGAACTGTTACTTAAAGAAAATCTCTCTTGCTCTAGCATTTAAAAGGAGCAATGATTTAAAATTGAATCATCCAACAAGAATTTGAATAAAATAACTCTAATTACAATCTTTAATATTTGGGAGAATAGGGACAGCTTCAAAACTGTCCCAAAGGTGACATAGGAGCTGTTTAAGCACCACAAAATACTTAATGTGAAGATATTTTAAAAAATATGAGACCAGGTTAAAAATTTCAAGGAAATGGACTGAGGAAAAGGCAATGTACATATGAAAATATCATTTCCATTCATTATCCCGCAGCAAAAGGTAAGCTTGTTTCTATAAAATGACCCAGCATCTCTACAGTGTCTCACCTTTCCTAAATGATGTTATATACATTATCTAATTTTATTCTCCCCCAAACACTATGAGACAGATATTCTTATGATTCACAAACAGATGAGTAGATGTTAACTGTCCAACATTACTCAAGAGAACTATTGTTTATTGAGCGAAGGCTGCATGTTCAGGATCTTGCTGCATGTTCATTAACTCATATAAAAGAGGCATTATTATTCTCATCTTACAGGTAGGACAACTGAAGCTCAAATAAATGAAGTGATGTATTTCAGATTAGTCAGCTCTTCAGTATTGCAACTGTGGTTTGCACACACACACACACACTCTCTCTTTTCATTGTCCTCTAGTCCTTCACTGCACTAGGAATAGCAGGAAAAGAGGTCACATTCCAACCTAAAACAGCCTGCTACAAACATGAAAGTGTCTCAGTTCCCCACTAGGTGAACCCTCTGTGCAAATTCTGTAGAGACATATGGCTGACTCACCGGTGTGCCTTCTCCTGTATGGTTATCCCAGGCAGACAAGTCATCAAAGACAAGATGAAGAAAGCAACAGCAAACATCTCATCCAGGATCCACCAGCCTATATCACCTAGAAGGAATTAAGGGATCTACTCAGGGAGTTGGAGTAAAAAGATGTCTACAGGCCAGGACCCATAAGATCTAATGTTTGAAACTAACAGAACTCCCTTGATTCTCATTCAGATGTGGTTAATTAGTTACTAGGGTATTGATTAGCCAAACACCCTAAAAACCCAGACACCAAAGGCCACTGTCCTTCAGACCTTTATTTTGAAAAATAGTACCTATAATATATTTATTTAACCAATACCAGCTTAGCAAAAGGATCTTATTTTCAGAAAGAGGCATCAGTCAAATTAAGATACAGTTCCAGAATGCATAATCATTTTTAGTGGCTCTTGGAACTTGTAAGGTCAATTTGTTTTGTAAGACAGAAATGAGGCTAATACTGGTATATCAGCTCAGCCATAAACAGCCAGCAAAACAGACAATGCTAACAGTCACATGGAGGTTCTACAATGTATCGCCAGACATCTGGAGCCTGAGAAATATAGGTAACTCAATGAACGTTCCACTTTTTATACAGACATTGGATGCCGTTAAGATTCAGCATATTGGTATCTTGAGGGGACAAGATGCCTTCAGTTGATATCTCCAGAAGCATTCTCTAGAATTATAGGAATAGCTACACATGTTGATGGATGAGGCCATACCTACACACACTCTCTGACTCTTCCAGTCATGATGGGCATTTCATAATGATTTTGCTGCAGATGTGGTGGCATGAGGGGTGTTATATCTGGATAATCTTAGGGTAGCTCAGGATGGTAGTGGGGATGGAACCCACTTTTCCCACCAACTCCCCAGCTGTCTCCCTCCCTCCCTATCTCATCCACAATCCAAGTTTTTGAGATATGTCCTCAGACACCCCCACCTCAGGTTTTCCTCCACCAGTTCTATTGCTTTTCTCATGTGCAGCAGACTGCTCTCTAGAACAGAGGTCTCAACTGGAGTGATTTTGCCCCTCAGGGGACATTTGGCAGTGACTAGAGACATTTATGGTTGTCACGACTTTGAAGGTTCTGCTACTGGCATCTAGTGGATAGAGACAGGGATACTGCTAAACTTTCCATGATGCACAGAGGAGCCTCCACCACAAAGAATTATCTGCCTCAAAATGTCAGTAGTGCTGAGGTTGGGAAACGCTGCCTCACAGTCTAGTCTTCTTTCCCTTGGCCGTTGGAGTTCTGGTGAATTAATTTTCTCCTTCTTACACATAGGCTCTATTGCCTTCCTTTTTCACGCAGCTCCTTCTCAAGAGTTCCCTGCTGACTTTCTCTTCACCCAAGACCTCAGCAGCCTCCAGGACGCCCCTTAACCTCTACTCACCTGTCTCATCCTTCACTCCTCAACATGGTCACTTAAATTCTATTACATTTCCTGTGTAATATCTTCCCTCCAAGCTTCTCTCCTTCATTCTCACTGCCTTTGATCCCCTTCAGAGCCTCAGCTTTCTCTGAAACTATCGTAAGAGACTCCTAGCGAGATCTCTTTCTCCTTATTCCAAACCTTCCTGAATTGTTGCTGAATTCATACTTAAGAAATCTGCCTCTGACAACATCCTTCTCCTGCCCAGAAACCTTCAGTGGCTCCCCATTGTCTATAAAATTAGAAGTCCCAATTCCTCCATAAATGGGTCCAACCCATCTGTGTAACCTTATGGATCACAACCCTCTGATTATCCCTCACTTATAGTCCAGTTTCCCTTACCTTCCTCACACTTTCTCAGTGCTGTGACTACTCTTGCTGGACTCCCCACCAGAAATTCCTTTACCCATCATCTCTTACCCTTCCATCAGGTGTCTTCTCAAATAACAGGTCTGTCATGGATCCTTGACTGATGGCTCCTTCTGGGAGGTGTCTCTTTGTTACCTTGAACCTTATAAACACATGATGAGCACTTCTCACTTTTGCCTCATATTGGGCTTTTCTAAGGAAGTGGGGTCTATCTTGAGAATGAAAGTTTATTTAGGGTAAATTCTATGTCTGGTTCTTCTTCATAAAGACCCATCTCACTTAGTAATGAATCTTTAATAAGAAATATGTATTGATTGAGTGAATTAGCAAATGAATCAATTAAAAATAGTTTACTATTTCATGATAATTTCAGGTTTAGTTTCTTATCTAATCCTCAAAATAACCTTGTGAAATAAATATCATTATTATGAAGAGAATCTTGAGTCAGAGAGACAGTGACTAACGTGGAAAATGGAAGCAAGATGTATAGAGTACCAGCCCTGTACCTTCCCCGTTACATGATTTAAAAAAAAAATTAAGTCTAATCTTCACAGTAATCATGCAAGGCTTTCTGAGTGGTTAAGTAATTTGCCTGAGATCACACAGCTGGTGAGTCTCAGATTCATGGATTTATAATCTGTCCAACTTCAAAACATGAGATCATTTTTGGTCTGATCACACAACTACTACATTACTAAGTGGTGTATTAGGACTAAGGCTTTGGTCTTCTCCAAGTCCAATTTCTGCCTGCTATGCCTTAACTCAGAGAACAATATCATTTCTAGGGAACAAAGAAAGCAAAATAAAGTGAATAAAGAGAGAATCACAGGATAGAATCAAAAGAGAGGAAGCTAAGTCAGATGGGATTAATCCATGCCTCTATGACTAAGTGTACATGCTGTGTGTCGTGTGTCGTGTGTGTGTGTGTGTGTGTTTGGATGGGGGTGGGCAGTCATCTGCTTTGGGCTAGAATGATCTAAGATGAATGGGAAATGCCAAAACATTTTTAGGTTTGCATATGTGGATTTCACCTTAATTGTAGCATTCTGTTATCAAAGATAGATAGTTATAAAATGCCATACAGAATAGACAGCAAGATGCCAATTCATTTTGAAAATGCATTGCTTGTCTCAGGGAAACGCTTTCCACTGTCTAAATCAGCCCATGAGTTATGGCCTCCAAGTGGAGCGTGTCCTGCATTGTCCCAGATTGCCACCGCTGGGACACCCAGGTCTGTGCTCTCTGAAAAGCTTTCAGTATTCTACACCTCATTCCCCCTGTGCTGGACCTGCCACTCGCCCAATGCAGATGGGAGATCAAAACTCTGTAAATCTAATGCAAAGGGAGGCAATTGGTTAGAACACAACTGTAGATCGGAAAATACCACTAACCAATTCTTGTCTCCTTGCTTCAGTTTCTTTATCTGCAAAATGGATAAAACAATACCCATCAGGATAGAATCAAGGAGCTGATGACTAAATGAGAAATCTATCCTTAACTGGGAATTTTGGACAGTTCTTATTTATTTCAATTTCCCCTTCTGCTCCTCCTTCCTAATATCTACTCATCTCTCATAAGCATGGGAGCTTTCACTTAATACAATGAAGGGGGGAAGCAGAAGAAAGAAGGGGCCTGGCAAAGAGAGTGATGGAGGAGGGTGGGATGTGAGAGGTCCATGTCCAGGTGACCTGGGCTGATGTCAAGGCCTCTGGAGGGAGGATGGTACCTGCAGAAGCTGAGAGAATGGTTTCAGTGGTGGGGCCCAGGTGATAAAGTCTGCCCAGGTTACAGTACATTCCAGCACCTCAAGGGTTGAAAATTTTGGGAGCAACTCAATGTAGCAACTTCAGCTTGGTTATGGCCAATCTCATGATGGCCAGAAGTGAACAGGGCTTCTCCCAGTAGCTTAGTGATTGGTAGTCCACACGGATGGCAGAGCAGTTTTGTGAGTGTGTGTGTGTGAGTGTGTGTGTATGTATTAGTGCTGCTCCCTCACTGGAAAATCCTGCAAAACATTCAACACAACACCTGGCACCAAGTCTGCAGACAGTGGGTGAGCATCCCTGCCCACTGCCTTGCCTTCCTCACCTCCTCTCTCCACGCTTTGCAAGACTGCATGTCTATGACAACTGTTTTCTCCCGAGTGCTTTCCTTAGTCCCAAGCCATGACCAACAGACATTCGTGGTGGGTGTTCCACTGAAAATGCAGTAGGGCTGGTTTAAGGAATTGGTCTCAACCCGAGGCTTTATGTGGATGAGCTACTGCATGCCTACTGCATATCAAAGCTCTGTGTTTGCATTGAAGAGGTGAGATGAAGGAGGTCAGTGTCTGGCTCATTTCTACATTAGCATAGAAATTAAAGACCTTCTCTCAAAGAAGGCATTGGGCACTGTGAGCGGCTCTGGGCAAATCTGGTGGTCCTTTGGGAAATACCTCTTGGAATTTGGCTGCAATAATTTCCAGGGTTCATTTTCCACCTGAGCAAGTTCTCCAGGCATCATCAATTGATCAATAGTCTTCTCTGTGATGCCTTTACATGCAGCATGGTGCAGGCACTGCTTCCTCTGCTCCCACAGTACCTCGGAAAGGCCACCGACTTGGTGGTTCATGCTCTATCCCACCTGTGATGGCTGTGAACTCGCAGAAGGCACGGCTGTGCTGGCCCAGAGTCTCCATGCCCCAGGTGTGTGAGAGTCAGCCCATGAAACCACAGCCACTGACTTCATGGGCCCCACTGAGCATGTGCACAGATGCTAAACACAGTACACACCCCACTAGAAGTAGGTAGGCTGGTATGATCACATGTGCAGACAGCTTTAACCGGTGTCCATGGGAACCTCCTTCCTCCACAGCATTCTCTCCTCCATTCCCCACCAGTGTCCTACTGAGAGCCCTGGACCCTGCTGTTCCCCCACTCCTCTGGGAACTTCATGTGTCCCAAGTGCTGGCACATAGTAGGTGTTCCATACTTGTGTTTTATGCAACACAGTAGGAAGATGGTACCTTTTACTCTAATAAATCTGGACTGAGATCCCAGCACCACCATTAACCAACTGTACAACTTTGGACAAGTGATTGCATCACTCTGCCTTAATTGCCTCTCCTGCATAATGGGTTTGATGGTAATTTCATACATATATTTCACATACACATAGACACATGCATGTTTGTTGAATGTACATGAATTAACAGGCATTTGCAGGCCTGATGATGATGGACACTATCTCTCTTTGTTATATCTGGCTTTAAGTCTCTCCTGCCCTCTCTGTTCCAGAAACACCCTCTGGGGCTGAGCAGGTGGAGGCTCGTTCACAACTGGGGCTCATGGTGCCATTTGAGGAGTCAATAGGGGGGTCAGGGTAAC